TTCGTTTTGATTGTTATTTGAGTAACTTAACAACTTCATCCTTTAAAGATGTCTCCAAACTTTGATCGTTAAATTTCCTTTCGACCGAAATTATTCGAAGCAATTGATTCTTTTTCTGATTGGAATTACGCAAGGGGATGTTTGATAACTGTCCTCTAAATTTCTTAATCGAAAATTGGTTTTTAAAAGGCTGTAAAGACGAAACATTATTTTTATGAAGAATAAATACGTTACTTCTTCTTTTTTTATATAGTCAGTTGAATGTCGGAGTCGTCGTGGCAGGATAAGGCGTCCAGTGCATTCATATCTAGTGATGCAACGGTTTTACTGGTGGTAGGACGTCTTGTGAGTCCGCATATCCATACCACCACCCTGCCTATTTCTGCCGTGAGCCAATAAAACGTTTCGGTTTGAAGGATGAGACAGTGTACTATGTACTCATGTTTCAAGGTGGGTGACAGTATTTTCGTGGTTAACCTCTATGAACTCCGGTGCCCACTTAAAACCACCTAAAACCAGGTGAGCCGTTAGATTTTCCATCCATGTAAGCAACAACAACAAAAAATTTGGAAGCATCGAACATCTGCTTTGCAAAACAATCAAGACACCAGTCTCGTGTGGATGGGCCATGCAGATTATCTATTGGCTCCTGTAACCACTGAAAACCAGGTGGACCTGATTCACACAACTAGTGTACTAAAATCAACAGATTTCGCAAAAAAAAAAACACACCCTGTGGTTTCAGGGTGCAAGAAAAGCTAAAGCTTTTTATGTACAAGGCTACACACCCCCTCATGTTACTCATGTAGAGTGCGATTTATGTGTAAGCTTTCACAAATCCTAATCAGTCAATGACCCAAAAAAACTTGGCAAAATAAACAATTCACAGCACATCACTCCATGTTCCCGACAAAAAAGCAGTTTCCTTTCAAAGCACTCTTTCGGTGTTATTTACGTGAGTGGACAGCTTATTATTACCGTCCATTGACGTCAGCAATAAGTCCAGGTGTTGCTTTCGCGCGGAAATAAAAAATTTAAAATTTAAATGCCCATCAAGTCCACTTATCGAACTCACAAAAATAAAAAAAATAAAAACATTTTGTAGCTTAATATCCTTACGAAAGGGTAAACGTTTAAAAAAATGATCTATAGATTAATTTTTAAATAATTTCGTAACAAAGGGCATCTCTTCTATCTCTCTTCAATCTCTTCCATCGCAAGATGCTTAAACAAATGTGAACGTTTGTTGTGCTACTTTCTTATCAACAACATTATTTCTCTTATGAAAACATAAAAAAATAATTATTTTAAAAGTCGTTTCTGGTAACAAATTTCTAATTTTAATCCGATATCGAAAGCTTTCTTCGAAATCTCTGACACGTAAATAAAGAAAATTTTAGGCCAACTACGATAGGATTATAAGCTTAGGTAAATGCTAAATATGACTATATCTTTGAATCGCGTTGAGTGGGATAAATTTACAAAATTAAAGTTATAAAAAAAAAATCCACGGACCAACGTAAAACGTGGTCACGATTCAGCGCATTTCGCCTCCAACCAAAAACATAGGTACTTCGAGCGTCGTTTGTGTTCCCGTAAATGCTCTCTCACTTTATTGGGGACTGGCATTTCTGGGTATCTCGCCAAAATGAGTTACGTTATTATGTGAAACCATAAACAGAAGCACTTCGAATTTTCTTAATTAAACTGCCTACAATTAAAACACGCGTCACCGTTTTGTAATTAAAATTTTGTTCCGTTTGCTGCCACCGTAGCGAATCAGAGCGATTTAATTTTCTAATGGCACTGCGTTATCTTAATTATTTCAATTCGATTTTAATTCAATTACTGTAACTTACAATCAAAATCCTTATTTAACATTTATAGGTAATTAAATATGGCACTATATTTAAAAAAATTACGATATTGAACGATGTCGACATCCTTAAATAAACTTTTTTTTTCCGAACAGGAGTTAGTTGTCCCTATTATAAAGCAATATATAACAAACTATAGTTCTCGACAAGTGGGTTAAATATAGATTGTTTTTCAATCAAGGAACAAGGCTTTAAATTTGTGGCTAAGTTCAAAGGTGACGTTTTCATTTTAACCTCAGTATTCAGCTAAACAATCTAGCGTCAGTAAAAATATAGTGGCATTCTCCATTAAGAAAACTGCGTCTATGCGGTAAAATTTACAGATGTGTTTAATAAATTCAAATTCACACCGATCACATAGCTTTTCTTGAAGTCATTGGTAAGGCCACTGAGTTTCCCGCCGGATCTCCTCAGTGGGTCGCATTTCCGCTCCGGTGGTAGATTATGCGAAGAATGGCGCTTGCTAGGGTTCGTGTTAGCAACATCGTCAGGTTTGAGCTCACCTACTAGTTAAAGTTACGCTGATATGGTCTCTCAAGACAATCAGCTTAGGTAGGAAAAAAGAAAGGTACAATAACTAACACCACACATGAAATTATATTATATAATATTATATTATTATAGATACTCCGTCTCGGTCTATATCTATCGTCTAAAAACGGCAATTTATTATTGAAAATTCATATAAATAGGCAACATCAATTCTATTTCTGTGATGCAGTATTCTAGATTTCCGCTTTAAAGACTAGGGAAACCAGTACATAATAATCTAGTATTTATATTTAAGTCTATTCTAAGATATTGAAAACGATATTGACGTTGTTATATCTTTGTGTTTCGGTATACACTTAAAACCAGATGGACCGTGAATTACATACTTACAAATCGTAGTCGCCTAACTAAAGGGCTATAAATCCGGTGTATTCGTATAGAACGATGCGAATGTACTAGTGTTCAAACTTCGTAGGTAAGTACTAGTATTTCGAATGAAATACGTACCTAACAGGTGCTCACAAACGACTTCCACGATGGAGGAAAAACAATGTGTAATAAAAATCGAAAACAGAAAAATCTTAAATTTTCCTAATTCACGTTAACAATATGGCTTTCAACACCTCATTTACTAGCTGATCTTTTTTACAAGCTAAACCTTAAAAAAGCTTGTTTGCTCATACAAAATGCTGCAAATTAATCTATTAATATATTTTTAAGGTAAATAAAATAAATTATAATTTTTCTTCAAATAAGTAAACAAATTCAATTCAAAACGTTTGGTATATACAATTATATTACATAAATACCTACTAGACCATCAAACTGGCTATTTTATCTCGAAGGGTGACTGTTTCAGCAAAAGCCCGACAAGTAATTTAGCACTAACCCCTTCTGTGTAAATATTCAACTTAACGGACTATTGTCAACATTTAAAAACAGACCTCCTCCGCGTAACAATATTAAAAGCTTGTATGCAGAAGAGAAACTCGGTAAAACGTAATTAAAACCTTGTTAGTGTTGGAGAACACACAACACCAACACTTAACCTCCGCAGAGGACCGGCCAAAACTAATTCAGAATAGTGAGGCTGTCGGCACCCTTTCTCCGCTCGGCGTGGTGGAATCGCAAAACGCTTCAAGGGATTAAACGGAGCTTAGCACCGAGCACGTTTACATATTGACAATGAGGCTTATCTTCGTTTTAAATAGCTCGTCGTCACTTCAGAACAATGTCTTTGTTACGATTTCGCAGTTCACTCACATCATCTCGGATCCTCCCGATCCACTAACGGTGCTTCTAGGTACTTCAAGCACCGGGCACCGGTCACCGAGTAAATTAACCCTCAGACATAGCCCACTGAGTTTCTCGCCGGATCTTCTCAGTGGGTCGCGTTTCCGATCCGGTAGTAGATTCTGCGAAGCACGACTCTTGCTAGGGTTCGTGTTAGCATCGTCGTCAGGTTTGAGCCCCGTGAGCTCACCTACTAGTTACGGTTACGCTGGAATAGCCTTTCTAGGCTACCAGCTTAGGTAGGAAGAAAAAAAAAAAAAAGCAGTTCACAGTCGGTGCGTCCAATCAAAACGAACGCGATCCGTCTAGAAACGGTCACCTTTCGAAAAGAGCAAGGAAGCGCGCTGACTCCATTACGACAGGGGAAATTAATTTTCAAATATAAATAAATTATATTTACTTCTGCTCGGCGAACCGTAATGCATTTAGAGCTCGGAGAATTTTGCCCGCTCTCGGCGTGAATCGTTTCGGCAACAATTTAAACGGTTGAATCGTAAATGTTCATTTGGCGAACGAGCGCTTCCTCCGGTTGCGGGCAACATCGTTATTGGTCTTTAATGGCCAATAAACTGTCATCGCCCGCCTCGCGGCAGATCCTAAACTTACCTGAACTCGACTAATAAACAAACAAAAAAACATAATAATGACAGCTGTAACAGAAAAGTAATGGGCGATTGTTTAGTTGAAAATAGACTTAATAACACGTAGGTAGAATAGAATAGAACGTTTAAGATCAATAACTTTTTTGTTGGCTCTCAATTCGACCTCTAGAACACAATCTTAAAGGTTACCTACTATAGTCAAAGAGCCATAACTTTTGTTGAGCCTTGGAGAGAGAGAGAGAGAGAATACACTTTACTGCACACCAACACAATTTACATTCAAAAAACCAGTCAAAAAGCACATACATTTGTACAATAAGCGGTCTTATCGCTAAAAGCGATCTCTTCCAGACAACCGTTTAATTTACAGAAATTCTGTAAAATATAAAAATATTGCAGGTGTACCATAGACAATACATTATTATAGGAAATATATAAATATAATAAACAGATATATACCGTTTACATATAATATATACCAATATACATACTTACATACTAATATACTTACACACACATAATAAATGAACAGTAGATATTCCAAGCCTATACAAGATAATAAGATATACAAGCCTTAGATATTCTTTACACTATATAACCATCTATATAAGGTACCTCAGGTTCATTGACGTCGGTACAACTTTTCGTAATAAATATATTTCAAGCTTGTTTAATTACTGCCTCATTTTTTAATTAATATTAAGCGGTTTTTTTAAAATTTTATATTTTACTGTAGATCCTCCCGTCGTGTCGTTGTCATTGGGCAGTACCTTAAATCCACATGAGATAAAAGAAGGTGACGACGTCTACTTCGAATGCTCAGTCAAAGCTAATCCACGGGAACATCGGATATCATGGTATCATAACGTAAGTATCTGTTATTTTTTACCCGCGAAAATGTTCGGATAGCACAAAAAAAATTAAAAAATACTACGCGAACGCTCCTCCTACATAACACAGATCTGGAATACAATATTATTTTATATTAAATTAATTCAGATAAATTAAATTTATTTTATATAATTATGTAACTAAATGATAGATGATGGATCGCCTAGACTTACTGGTGGTAGGACCTCTTGTGAGTCCGCGCGGGTGGTTACCACCTCCCTGCCTATTTCTGCCGTGAAGCAGTAATGGGTTTCGGTTTGAAGGGTGGGGCTGCCGTTGTAACTATACTGAGACCTTAGAACTTATATCTCAAGGTGGGTGGCGCATTTACGTTGTGGATGTCCATGGGCTCCAGTAACCACTTAACACCAGGAGGTCGTCCACCCATCTAAGCAATAAAAAAAAACTTAAATAAAATGAATGAATAATCGACTCACAGCATTTGATTTGTTAAATAGATCTCTATTTCATAACACCGGGGAAAATCTAGCTTGGGGCCCTTGAATACGAAGCCTTATTTGCTTTGTTCACGAAAAACTATGTGTATTTTCATAACAATCCCACGTTTGTTATTATAAAAGTAAATTACCCCGTAATGATATAGTGGTTTGACCTTTTTCACGTTAACGTAACACTGGTCGAACGGATGTCACTTAATCGATCAATAAATACCTCATACGGAAGTGACGAATTAAAATAAACGGAACTGCGTCATCATAAATTAAACAACGATAGTATTTCAGACAGTCTACGTTTACGTGAAATAATTAAATAAATAAGAGCTAAACATAATGTAGATAGAAAATAAAATAAATAATCACTATATACATCCAATAGTAAAAAAACAAAAACAAAAATAGTTATACCAGTTGCATTTAGTTGGGTTTTAGGAGTCGTATACTTAATTAAAAATATTTTTATATTTATAATTATGAGTGTTTTTACGATCTAAAGTTGTCTATCTATCTATACATATATACCTAGTCAGGTCATAAATTCTGTCACATGTTTAATGTAAAATAATTGAAACAAGTTTATTCATTATGTAATTATTCATATACCAAAATGAACTTAACAAAACATAGATTTTTATGACACTAAAGTGTATTCAAAATGACCTCCGTGATTTTGAATACAGGCCTACAATCTGCGCGGCCAGTCGTCTATCGCAGCACGAACGAGGTCCATGTCAATATCGGCGGCTGCCTTAATCAAGGATGTCTTGAGTGACTCCAAATTGGGATGAGGCTTTGAGCACGCCTTTTCCTCCAAGTGTTGCCATATCTTGTAATCTAACGGATTCAAATCTGGACTGGAGGAGGGCCAGTCTTCGTGCCGGATGAAGTCGATTTCACGCGCCGCCAGCCAGTCTTGTGTGCTCTTCGCTCTATGAGCTGGCGCCGAATCTTGTTGGAATACCCAGTGCCTGTTATTGAANTTTGCATTTGATATTTTATTACGCTAAAAATACTAGAAGCATTTTAAAAGCGTAGAAGGTTGAAATGGGAAATTGAAAATATGGCTGAGGGGCATTTTGTCGACTTCGGCGGACTAATCTTGCTCTGGGGTTCAAAGGCCAAGGCGGTTGTATAAATTTAATTGACCCTTCAATCGTATATTTGGAGACGGACAGCGTTCATGTTGTGGGATCTATCATAAATGGGGGTTGACTGGTATAAGCTGGTTTTCGTCCTGGACTAAAGCATAAGACGGCCGTGGTGCTCGTAGCAAGCCCTCACTCTTAGTGTACTCATTCAAATTCCGGATGCAGGTACCAATTTTTCTAAGGAAGTACGTACTTAACACGTATTCCCGAATGACTTCATTGCTGACTTCGCTTCGCCATTACTTTATTCTCGGAAAATTTTCTAGGATTCAGATTTGAAGGGGGGCGCCGTTATGTCATTGTAACTTCGACCATTTTTTTTATTGCTTAGATGGGTGGACGAGCTCACAGCCCACCTGGTGTTAAGTGGTTACTGGAGCCCATAGACATCTACAACGTAAATGCGCCACCCACCTTGAGATATAAGTTCTAAGGTCTCAGTATAGTTACAACGGCTACCCCACCCTTCAAACCGAAACGCATTACTGCTTCACGGCAGAAATAGGCAGGGCGGTGGTACCTACCCGTGCGGACTCACAATAGGTCCTACCACCAGTGATAGGTCCTACCACCAGTTCGTTAGTCTCGCTAAAACTAGAAAACGGCTGGACCGATTTGGTTAATTTTGGTATTGAATTATTTGTGAAAGTCCAGAGAAGGTTTAAAAGGTAGATAAATATGAAAATTCTCGGAATTAAATAAAAATAACAATTTTGTTTTTCCTTTGATGTGTCCCCCGTCGGACGGATTCCTTTTGTTTGGTTTATGTTTATTTTATACAAAAGTTTAGGTCTTTTATTTATCGATTGAGGCACTACGAAGTCTGCCGGGTCAGCTAGTCCATAATATTAATCGTCACAGAAGCGAAGCCGTCTCATTCCCATTTTGGTTCAAAGGAATAGCTGTTATCTCAATGCTTTTTTCGTAGAATGCGACGAAGAGTTAGACGTGCAATCTAGTCTAGCCTATAAATACAACCCATTGACTTTCTCACCGGTTCTTCTCCGTGGGTGGCGATTCGTATCTGGTAATAGATTCAGCAGAGCACTGCTCTTGCTAGGGCTATTGTAAACCAGCCCTCCCAGGTTGAACATCGTGAGCCCACATACCAGACCGCGCTTAATAGGAATAGCCCCATAGCCTACCAACAATTAGGTAGGGGAAAAAAACAAGACAATGAACTTCGAACTCATGTGTTCCGTAGCCATTTCTGAATTAGTGTGATAAAAGTTCACATACCTACCTAACTAAAAAAGGCCGCTCTATATAAATCTAAGTTTAATTTATATAAATTGTGTATATTCATTAGCAAAACGAGACGCCATTTTGCCTCAAAAACTACTCTATCTTTCTGACACCAATAATTTACCGCGCCTAAAATTAAGTTCCGTTTCAAATCTCTTTAAACAATGGAATGTTTAAATATATCAAATGGGTAAGGAAAATTCTATTTCAGACAAGAGCAGTGGCTATAAAGAAGAGCTTATTGACTCAATACACTAGATAGATTACAGTATCGAAATAGGTATTTGTTTGAATTATTAAAGGTGTACAAGACTCCGAAGCTAGCAATAACAGTTAGAAATGTGTCTAGTCATTCATTCTATTATATAGTGTATTTAAGTTTAATTACATTTTAACTTACATATTGCTATTATATTTTAAGCGTCTTACCAATTAAGGTTCAATCAATCTCAAGCGGCTAAAAAGAGGATTTTGTAATTTTGTTCCCAGGACAAACAAGTTCTTCATAACGTGGTATCGGGAGTAATCGTGAGCACCAAGTCTCTGGTTCTACAGAAAGTGACAAGAGATCTGGGAGGAGACTACTCTTGCAGGGCCACTAATGCTCTCGGTGAAACGGCCAGCCAGACAACACATCTCAGTATACAATGTAAGTTTATTATTAATATTAAGTTATAACATAAATACTTACATTCACTCTCCATGGGTCACGACTAGGCTTTAGACTATTTTCTTCAGTTTTCGCTAGCCGCAGAAATAATTAAAACAACTCTTACGCATTGATTTTGTGTTTTTAAAGTCATTAAGCTATTTCGGACGTTTCAAATACTTTACACTTTTCTCGGGTATTGTATTTTTTTTCTGCCGAGAAGATATCTAAACTTTAGAAAAGGTATAATAAATGTGTTGGCGTAAGGTCTGATGCGTAAATTGGTTGAAGTGAAACTTCCAGCCCTAGCTCTTGCAGCTTAAAGACAGTCTGTAATGCTGTATGAGTTCGAGCGTTGTTATAAAAACAAAAAAAAATAAAACAAAAAAATCATGTGCAGGTAAAAAGGTACCTGTAGATGGAACTTTATGGGAGTGCTCTTTAAATGTGTAATTTTAGAACGTTTAACATTCATAAATATCAACATGAATTCTTGAAAATATAAACTTTCAAATCACCAAAACGAGAATGTTTATAATTTTTATAGATACCTTTAGAGCCCACCCTCGCTTTGCTTCGGAAACATTAAATTTTATTATTGACTAGTTGACCCGGCAGACTTCGTAATGCCTCAATCAAGAAATAAAAGATCTAAACTTTTGTATAATAAACTTAAAACAAACAAAAGGAATCCGTCCGATGGCGGACACATCAAAGGAAAAACAAAATTGTTTTTTATTTAATTCCGAGCATTTTCATATTTATTTACGTTTTAAACCTTCTCTGGACTTCCACAAACAATTTAAGGCCAAAATTAGCCAAATCGGTCCAGCCGTTCTCGAGTTTTAACGAGACTAACGAACAGCAATTCATTTTTATATAAATAGATTTAAACCTTCTCTGGACTTCCACGCATAATTCAAGACCAAAATGAGCCTAATCGGTCTGGCCTTTCTGGAGTTTTAGCGAGACTAACGAACAGCAATTCATATATATTCCTTAAAAACCTTAAAATTACCATCACTTGCATTTATGGAGCTCGTTTACTATACCTATACAAAAAGCATGGGCATATATCGGTTTGTGATTTAATTAATGACATTCAAACTGCACCTTTGATTCAAGTGTTGTACATTGGTCTATAGTCTATGGCTTCTTGTTTACCAATGGGTCAGTTTCGTTGGAACTAAACGGATGAATCCGACTATCTACAAGAATGCGAGCATCGTACAATTTTACTCATTATAAAGAACTTTGTCATTACGACATTTGTCGTTACGAAATAAATTGAACGGAACCTAATATAAAGTTAATAATTTTAATGCTTTTAACGTAAAAACAAAAAACGTCATTCAACAGTTTTTAGGTTACGCCAATACAAAACTCATGCAATTATAATAAAATACTATAACTTTTAAAATTAAATTTATTTAACAACGTTGTCAAGGGATACTTAATAACAGCATTGTTTATCAATTAACAGTCACACAGCCGAAGCAAACGTTGAAAATTTTACATTAATAATCAAATTATGACGATGATAACTTTTGCGTCTTCCAAATTGGGGAGTCTTTTACTCCCTAATACAAACAGAGTGCTAATAAATTACATTTTCATTTCGCGAGGGGCTTTTTGTTCGCTGAATGTTGTATCAATCATTCTCAGTGAGATCTTAACAAAGATTTGTTACGAGTCAACGGAGTGAGACAAGATTCTATTGAATAATTCCATTACTGTAATACAATAGCCAACAGTGAAGATAAACTGTAAGGTCTGTTCATATGAGCTGCACACTTACGCCTCAACGTAATTCCTGGATAATGAGTCCTCGTTTTATTCAGGCCGTATCTTCTANGTTGTATCAATCATTCTCAGTGAGATCTTAACAAAGATTTGTTACGAGTCAACGGAGTGAGACAAGATTCTATTGAATAATTCCATTACTGTAATACAATAGCCAACAGTGAAGATAAACTGTAAGGTCTGTTCATATGAGCTGCACACTTACGCCTCAACGTAATTCCTGGATAATGAGTCCTCGTTTTATTCAGGCCGTATCTTCTACCTCATTTTAGGTAATTTTTACGCACGTACCCAGCCGAGTCGACACACCTCTTTAGTAACATAATCTAGCACTCGACACGTACGACGACTATGTGATGGGGCTACGAGCGCTCTCTTCATAATGAAACAATATAGGTGTCTCTATTAATCACTTTTCTATTTAAATTATAATGAGTTGCGTAATATTTTTTTTTGGAATTTCAATCTGTTCGTATGTGACTGAAACTTTGTTAGCTCATCTATCAAAGCCTTAGCAACTAAACCGTTGCCATCGGGATTAATTAACTATGATAAACAACGAGAAGCGAAATATGTATCATTGCGGCGTCGGCAGTGTTGGCTTCGACTGTATTCCGACAAGTAGAGTCGAGTCACTGAGCGAGCATCAATCATCGCGGGAGACTGCCTTCAAGATTTACGGGTGCGTCGCCGCGCGTCGGACCGATTCGCGACAAATGTACGTTATATCCCACCCTATCCGTCACCTAGGCTCGTTTGCAACATTCGTTCCACGAGTTTGTTGCCGTTTTATTGATTCCATTCCCGCACCTTTCTCCTCCAGCTAAGGAACGCTGTAATTCGCACGCGGTACACGATCGCCGCCGGTCTTACATTAATCCACATACATATTTTCATATTCCCGCTACAGTAATCGCACCGTGGAAGGGCTGCTTAACGTGAACAAATATTTGAGAGTTTAATGAAAATCTGAGGCAGCCGGGGAGCGCAGTTTAGCAAGTAGATACCTAAATGAATCACAGTCGCCGACTGTACCCGGAGGGGAGCAGTTGGGCGATAAAATTTATATATCGTCTAACTTCTGTTATGATTTAACGAACTGGATCCGAGTTTTCTTTCAGCTGTTTACTGTTAATTTAGGTATTCTTCGTTCTGAGATTATTGAAGCAACACTTCGTTATATCCATAATACTTATTACATTTTGCTGTCTGTACAAATCAAGGGATCTCTAGTTGGAACAGTGAACGTGTGTTTTTATTAATGAGGAAATTCTCGCTGTAATACGGCACAGCAAAATACGCAGTGCCACGAGTGAGCTATGAAAGAATCCTGAGACGTGAACCTTTACATTGCATTGCTAATAAGCGTAGGAATGTTTCTTTTATGGAAACGTTGGCTTTTCAGAATGGTTTACTAGCATTTCATTAGCCTTTCATTTCAGTTTCATTTTCTTCTCTCTAAATATACAAACTATTTTATGCAGACAAAGAAGTTTTTGTATAAATAAAATTTAAACTGAATAGAACTATTATATTAACACTAACACACAGTGAAGATAAAAAGGTCGCGGTTGATCTTTGTGATAGCTGAAGCTATCGCTATTATTCTGCCGCTGCCTGTAATTTTAATCTTTTTTTTTTTTATAGCTTAGGTGGGTGGACGAGCTCACAGCCCACCTGGTGTTAAGTGGTTACTGGAGCCCATAGACATCTACAACGTAAATGCGCCACGCACCTTGAGATATAAGTTCTAAGGTCTCAACTATAGTTACAAGTTAGAATCAAAATAAAAAACAATGACGGTGCCAACCCTAATTGGCTTACGAAAACGCGTTAATCTAAAAAACTGTGAGAAATTAATTTATCGTAGATTTAAGATTGTTATTAAATCTTCAGGTACAAAGCCATTGATAAGCTTAAATCTAATAATACCTAAATTTAAAATTAAGTGGCATAATCTACAGAATCCCTGCTTCCACACTTTGCTGTTAAAGTAGAAATTCCTTATAAAAGTATTTGAAAGGGTTTAATCCTTGTGAGTCTACTTCTCAAAGGCGCTTCTAACTTATTAAAAGACATGTCAAATGAAAATTTTTGTTATCAACATAGATGCACCAGTTTGTTCGCATCCAACACCTCAAGTACTAGGAGCACAAATAGAAGAAGCATTGAGAGTGAGATGCTCTGTGACAGCCAACCCTCCGGACGTGACGTTCTTCTGGCAATTTAACAACAGCGGCGAGAGTCTAGACGTATCTCCGCTAAAATTTGGTAAGAAGATTTCAATTTGGTTATGTCAAACAAATACGGTGGATCAAACGTATGAAACTATCGGTTACTCTAATCGTATGAATGTGTTTGTCTCTTATATACTATATATATAAAAGTATATTTTAAAGATCACTCTGAATATTGTTAATAATATTAGGTACACCACAACAAATCTACTGTATCTTTTTTAGAATTTCTCTATATAAAAACGGTAGACTGAAAGAGATCGCTTTAAGCGATAAAACCGCTTATTGTAGGTATACAATTATACCTGCCTGTTGGTTGATTTCCAATGTATTTTTTGTGTGCAATAAAATATACTCTCTCTCTTTCTCTCTTAAAGTTTTTGTTTTGTGAACAGGTACAGCGAACGGCAGTACCAGCGAATTGGTGTACAAACCTCAGAGCGAGCGTGACTTTGGAACACTTAGCTGTAGAGGCGCCAACACTGTCGGAAGACAACTGGAGCCATGTGTCTTCCAAATTGTGCCAGCTGGTAAGTTTACAGAAATTGAAATAAACGTTTGTGACGAAATGCGAAACGGTAACTAATAACTGTAACCTACATATTGGTCAGATCTTAACAACATAATCTAAGAGCTAGTGATTAGATTTCGATCATAATAATACAGTACCCGACCATAAATATCGCACATCGACCTTTAGAAAGAGACATTTCGGCTACGACGAACGTTATCTCTCTCGCACGATAGACTAACAGTTCGATTGTACACTTCAACACTTGAACACTAACTGATAAACGTCGGGTAGGTAGTGTGCGACAGGGATAACGCATTGCGAAGCTCAAATAAGCCGATTATTTCATTCCAAGACTAGATCTTATCGCCGGGTACTGTACAATTATTTAAATTGCACAGTTCCAGTCCATTCATAGTTTCTTCGGGTGTACCTCAGGGTTCCATCTTGGGTCCACTATTTTTTAACATCTTTATCAACGAAATTACAAATCTTTTTAAATATTCTACCTGTTACCTATTTGCTGACGATCTTAAAATAATGCGTGTTATAAATGATGTGAATGATGCTGAACTATTGCAGAGTGATATTGATAAATTGGTTGATTGGTGCCAAATTAATAAAATGTATTTGAATATTTCGAAATGTCTACATATAAAATTTACATTAAAACGCAATATAATACCAACATAATATCATATTTCAGGGAAATGCTTGAGTGAAGTTTCTCAGACTCGTGATTTAGGGGTGGAGCTTGATATTTGAGCTAGCTGAATTTCGCTAAGCACATTGACAAAATTATAGATGCCGCGAACAAATCACTGGGTTTTGTACTTAGGAATGGTAGGGAGTTTAAGAAGGTTTCCACTGTTATGTTAGAAGCAAACTTGATTACTGCAGCACTGTGTAGTGTCCTACATACAAAACCCATATTAACAGGATTGAGAGAATTCAAAAAAAGTTACTTCGCCACATGTCGTACCGTTTTAGGCCGCCTAATAATGTTGAATCTTATGTTGATAGGGCTAAATATTTTAAAATGCAAACATTGAATGATCGCCGCGATATGTTAGGCTTGTGTTTTTTACATCAAGTTATGAGCGGTGCTGTCGACTCCCAATCCATCCTCAATAAATTCTCTTTGAAGGTGCCATCCAGGTTACCTCGTCGCCCCGTTGCTCTTTTCAGCACCCGCTTTAGCAGAACCAATCTAGGCAAGCACTTACCTGCTCCTCGTCTAACTAACCTTTATAATAATCTAGTCAGAAAAGCTCAAAACCTTGACATATTTGGCGATTCCCTTCCAATATTCAGGAACAAAATTATAAAAAGTTGTTGTTGAACCTCAGGCTCAGCCTTGGTCTGAGTACTCGGGTATTACTGTCCTTGTTGTTTTTCTTTTGTTTTTAATTTTTTATTATTATTAATAGTATTGTTAAATCTCTATTGATATATTAATGTAATGCATGCTGTGATTGCCTCTAATTAGAGTTGCAGTTATCAATTGCTCTATACATGTCAATGTTATTTTATGTCTTACTGTAAGCCCTGTCGGTACTCCTTAAATAAATAAATTAATTAAAATTTGAGAAATCTATACATGAAAACTTAACGACTCCTAAGTACGTTACGCCAAACATGCAAAGACGCGTCAGATTTATGGCCAACTATGTCTGAGTTTTCCTTTTTTTGTTCCAACTAATCTCTTATCAACTTTTACCTTGATAATCATGATAGATGTAAATAAGACTATTTAATTTTTTTACAGATCTAAATAAAAGTCATTCCGAGAAAATATATACATATATAAGTATAACATAGCACTCGACACCAGATAAGCCGTACAATTGGACACTACTACTACTAGTGCGCTGGCGCTATGACTCTATAGTGGGTCTTGGCCTCTGATAATAAATGTTGCCATTCATCTCGGCACAGCGCAACACCTTGCCAGTCCGACACTTGGAGCTCACGTAAATTTCCCTCCACAGCGTCAGACTAGTGGTACCTGGGCCTCCCTACGGAACGGCGTCCCTCCGGTACACCCGCGTACACCCATTTTACAGCCCGATCCTGCTCCGAACAATCCGAGCCTCCGTGCCTTCATCTCCCCTAGAATATTTGGCTCACCAAAAAGCCTCTCCAAATCCTTATTTTTCCGAACGTGCCAAGAACCATCATCTTTCTGAACCTGTGGTACCAGTATATTTGTGGGACGGTGGGATGGATGTAATCTACTCTGCGTCAACCCTGTCCTGCCGTCTCGATAGCCCCGACTGGGCTCCGGCCCACTCCGAGGTAGGGGGCCGGTTGTGAGCGGCAGGAGTTTTTAGTGAGGTTCAACTCCCACATACCCCACCTGCCGTGCGGGTGGGGATCCAGCGATTTTCCCAGGTGGAATAAAAACCAGTACATTTGGACACTTGAATACGTAAAAAGAAATCTAGCTACTAATGAACCGAGTTCTTAAATTTATAAAAGACTACCCTCCGTATCTTATAAAAAGTGATCAAATATTATGTGTCCCCTTTTTACGAAATGTAAAGAAGAAATATTCTTGTATATTATTTTGAAAACTTGAATGATTATACTATATCATTACAGCCACATTCAATGATAATGAAAACACTTCAGTATTCAAAAGATCCGTCCACAAGAGCACTTATTAATATGCTGCAACGGTATTTCTGTGATTCTCGAATGTTCCCATACATTAACGCCATTAAGATTTGCAAATGTTTTATAAAACGTGACTTGAGTTTTCGAAATCAATTTTGGTACATTACGATTTTCTTTAAGTGAATCGGTACGTTTTCTCGCCCTCGTCTTTTAAATACCAATTTTTTTTTATCGAGAAAATAAAAAAAAAACATAAGATCGTACAGTCGAAAATCGCTCATCGCGATCTTTTTTTTTTCCTCTATTGATGCACAAAACAAATTACAACCATAGAAATTATGAGTTTAAATATTTAATATAACAATCTGGATTGCAATTCAAAACAGGTGCATACAGAAAAAGTATAACAACTGAACTATGGCCTAAATACCGTATGTATATATACACATACACACATACGCTCACACACAAACGCTCACATACACACACATATGTAAGTNTCGAGAAAATAAAAAAAAAACATAAGATCGTACAGTCGAAAATCGCTCATCGCGATCATTTTTTTTCCTCTATTGATGCACAAAACAAATTACAACCATAGAAATTATGAGTTTAAATATTTAATATAACAATCTGGATTGCAATTCAAAACAGGTGCATACAGAAAAAGTATAACAACTGAACTATGGCCTAAATACCTTATGTATAAATACACATACACACATACGCTCACACACAAACACACACATACGCACATGTAAGTTACTATCTAATTAAATTTAATCTAATGTATCAATAACTGGACAAAATGAAATAAAAAAAAATGGACGCGCATGTCAATTCTATATTTGTAAAATAATTAAAACCAATATAATTAGTATTTGAAGAAGTAAAAACGCATTTATTCATTTTCTTGGCCACCTCAAGATAACTAAGAAATAGATGCAAGATTTCTATTTAACATTTTATTCTAGAAACCCATCCACTCTTAATCTTTTAATTTAAGTAATTGAAAAATGAATAAAATTAACAGAAGCAAATACGACTTCTAATAATGTTAAAACGTAAAGTGGCGAAACAGGATGTAGGATCCAAATCCTAATAAAACCACGTATATATAATTTGAATCAACAGCAGGCAACGAATCTACATTTTATAATTCTCGAATTCACTCGAATTTTACTCGCACGTATGTAGCTTGCCGAATCTCATAACTTTTCGTTCATGGTATTAGAAAAACTAGATGTGCAATTTGGCACATATTTTTTTGTGTTTTTTTTTATTCGACGAGCTCACAGCCCACCTGGTGGGTGTTAAGTGGTTACTGGAGCCCATAGACATCTACAACGTAAATGCGCCACACACCTTGAGATATACTTCTAAGGTTTCAGTATAGTCACAACGGCTGCCCCACCCTTCAAACCGCAACGCATTACTGCTTCACGGCAGAAATAGGCGGAGCGGTGGTACCTACCCGTGCGGACTCACAAGAGGTCCTACCACCAGTGTTTCTGGAACAACAAAATTTACTCGTTCTGTGTCTCATGAGCAACGTCTACTACTTACCATCAGGAGGGCTGTATACTCGTCTGCCAACAAAGGAAAAACAAAAAAAAACTACTGTTAATTATCTTTTTTTCAATACTGGGTGACAGACCAGATGATTTGTCTGCTACTTCTTCACCATGACCTCGTAGTGATAGTAAAGACGCCAAATACTGATGGAAAATGTTTAGTGGGACCGCTGCCCCAAAGCAAGATTACGATTACTCTTAAACTAATACAGTCGACCACAGTAATATCTTAAGTATCTGAACTGTTTCTCTGTTTTTCCATTTGCTAATATGTAGTAATATGATGCTAGGAAAAATAACTAATTACTCCCGTTAATCATTGTAAGCTGAATTAAATAAGAACACTTAACTCAATAAAAATATCGATATGAAATCGAATTAAAAAAACATAATTTAAAAATCGCATTATCGAAAGCAAGATTGAAATGATTTATGCCGCAATTTATAATTTCACATGTATACCGAAAAAAATCCATAAGTTACAAATCACAATACGTAAGCTATTTCAACATCAAAAGTGAATCTTTATCCCACATTCATACCAGATTTACAACTTTATTATCGATTATTATTTACATCAAAATAAATACAGATATCTGCTAAATAAAGTTGTCTTACACCATATTATGTGTAGCATGCAGATTTTGTGTAAACTAATTAAGCTGTAAACAAAGCAATCAAGCTGAAACGCCGACAGTAAAGTAAACAAGTTTAAGGGAAAAAGGCAAAGCCACATTTTTCAATTAACACTTCCACCGTGTGGCTAACTCTTTGACTTTCAAGAAAATATGAATACAGTACTACAGGCAGTGCACGGTAATACGAGACCAACCCGCAGCGCTTAATATCAAAGCACTTTGTTATAACATATCGTGCTAAATTGTCACACGGCTGCCTTAAGTAAAGACGAAATTAGTGAGTTTCCCTCTGCAGTTAATTTTCTTGTTCGCGTGACGTGTAAATTAGATACGTTTTGTGTTCTTGTGATGTGCCAACAAATTTTGTTAAACTAATTTCATACGTTTTTGCTTTTTTCTGTCTCACTTAGAAATTTAAAGCGGCATTAAGTTTTATCACTTACAAGACATCAATGTGGGGATTGATAAAACAGAATAGAGATTAGGGAGAGGACTAAATTAGGAATATTTTTTTTGTTCGTTTTTTTTGGTGTTAGTTATCATCATCATCAATATCCTGCCCTTCACCCAGTTACCTGGGATCGGCGCAAGATGTTTTCTCCTTCCATACTCTTCTATCATATACCATATTTTCTTCGCTCACTCTCCTCTTACCCAATTCGTCTTTCACACAATCCATCCATTTCTTCTTAGGTCTATCACTTCCTCTATATCCTTCCACATTCATTGTTAACATTTTCTTACCAACCTCATTTTCATCTCGTCTCATCACATGTCCATACCAACCCAAACACGCACTTCTCAGCTTCTCTGTCACAGGTGCCACTTTCAGACTTCCTCTAACATATTCATTCCGTATTCTATCCATTCTCGTTACTCCACACATCCATCGCAACATTCGCATCTCTGTATATATTAAATTTAAAAGAAAAAGATAGAAATAAACTACGAACTATGTTGTCATTCGATGGATTTTAGGGAAAATTCGACATGGTCTATTCGTTCGTTCGAGCATCACTCAAAAACCACTGCATTAATTTTGATGAAACTCCATTTCAATAAACTAAATTATGTTAGTCAACCATTAGATAAACAAGCTATAAATATGACTTATCTAGCTACGTTTGCGGAAGACGAAATCATAATAAAGTCATAATAACCACTTATATATTTTATATAATGATGAAAAACCAATATTAAATGAGCTCCCATATTACGTCATTCATACTTTTCCTAATTGAAACAATATAAATTGTGATTTCCATATTAAAGCATCACCGTTTTCGTTTTCATTATAGCAAGGCCAACGGCACCACGCAACTGTTCTCTTCAAGTAAGCAACACCAGTATAGAAGGCATGAGCTCCTGGCTCCGGATCCGCTGCGTTGCTGGCTACGACGGAGGATTACCTCAGTTTTTCATTCTCGAAGCACTAGACCCCATCACGGGCAAGACCAGATTGAATAGCAGCGTTAATGAAACCGGTCAGTCCAATGTATACATATTTTGTATATGTGTGTGTTTCTTTTATTGCTTATATGGGTTTACGAGCTCACAGCCCATCTGGTGTTAAGTGGTTACTGGGACCCATAGACATCTACAAAGTTCATGCGCCACCCATCTTGAGATATAAGTTCTAAGGTCTCTACCCCACCCTTCGAACCGAAACGCATTACTGCTTCACGGCAGAAATAAGCAGTGTGGTGGTGTACCTACCCGCATGGACTCACAAGAGGTCCTACCACCAGTAAATTTATTTATTATATTGTAAACACCAGTTGTTATATTTGAATCATCATTATCGACAACCCGTGTCTCTCCACTACTCGATATAGGCCTCTCTGCTGTGCCACAATAAACCGTCCAAATTCAACTCCCAACTTCCTCTATTATTTAATTAAAATTCAAATAAATTATAGTTTTCATTTACAAGGCATTTTATTCAAACTCTATTTCCTGTAGATGGCCTCGCTATGTTCAAGTTGGATCTGTCCCAACTCACTTCGACGGGCGAGGGAGATAGCGCAACATTCAATTTGTTGATATACGCTAAGAATTTAAAAGGGGACTCAGAAAAAACTCTCCTGGAAAATATTGCGTTCAACGATGCGGCTAGAAGAACAGGTAGACTTTGGTGATTTATTAACTTCGGAAACCATAATAATTATTTTTTCAAAAATTTGACGAGCCTTTTGTTAAAAAAAATTCATTTCTAATAACCATTTCCCTTATTAACGATAGTCTGAACACGTTTAAAACTTTTACGATCCGTTGTAGTAAATCCAGTTCCCCGTAACATCAAAACATATTGTTGGATGTAAGTTCGAAATGAATATTTCAATTCGATTCATATTTTAATTCGAAATGCTTCATAGGTTTTTCGCAGAAATGTCCCATTCGTGCTTTATTTGCGTATTTGAAAACATGTTTCAATTAGTGAGTATTTACTTTTATAGTCGAAACTAATAATAATCAAAGATTGTTTATAGATTAACGTTTATCTTTTTAAAGCTTTTAAATTATTCAACAATTGCATTATTCAGAATTTCAATATTTTCAAAAAGAGAAATAACATTCCAATGTTCCAATTGTCATTACGGTTAAATTCACCTAATCCACTTTTTTATTATTCTTTTTTTTATGCTCTAAATTCACATGAATTCAAATGTTTTTTTGCAACATTCATACAGACGGCAAAACAACAATGGGAGGAGTGACCCTTGGTATTTTAGTAGCCGCTGCCCTTGGAGCTACATTAGCTTTAGCCGGCTTGGCTTTTGGAGCACTTTGTGCTAGAAGACGAAGATCCCAACCTCCCCACAAACATCCGCCAAGAGATATGCTGGAACTCAGCGATGGTGGAAGAAGATACGTTGTTGCCTACACTATCAAGCCATCCCCGGATTCAAAAACTCCAGATCCACAACCAGATATTCTTAATGCACCAGGTAAACGCTATGAAGTAATACCTTTTTTTCAGTTTCCTATATTGTTTTAAGAGTTTTTTTTATTGATTAATGAGAACAAGTCAACTTGTTTTATTCTTAACTCGTCCGGACAGATACGACCACCTTACTTATTTCTTCTAAAAAACAGTCATGCGCAAGGTAGCAACCCTTATTACAATATTTGTGCCATTATTGGGTCATCGACCACATAAAATATATGTCTGGTTTTTATGCTGTGAAGTCTATAGGTACCGGTTATTACACAAGCTGGGGTATGATCGTGAACTTAGATAACTTTAGGTGATTCTCGGTTACCTTGTCGGATTACTTAAACTTGTTTCTATTGTTATTTAATTTTAGATGCTGACGGCCAAGTACCAAAACTAGACGATGCTGATGAGTGGCCTAGTATAAAGGAAGTTCGAGGTAAATTTCAATCTTAAATCTTCTTTAATATCCCAACTAAAGTCCTTAATTTGACACAATAGGTTGGGTCGCTATTTATTATGTGAATCGTTCACAGTTCTAAATAGATTTATTCAGATAATTTTCTACATAATATTACAAATTCATAATTTCATCTTTAGGAGAATGGACCAAATCCGGTGCAGTTTTCTCGGCGGAAGATTTAGCGTTGTTAGATTCAGCCGTGCGACCACAACAGGTTAGTGCTAAAAACGATATTTTGTTCTTACAAAAATTTTAATAGAATTTTTTGAGGATTTTTTGAGTTGAATTATATTATTATTTTCCAGCTAACTCCAGGTAACGAAGTCGTACCTAATAGCAGACAAGACGATGTTTTAAACCAGAATTTACCCCAACCAATAGGTAGTAATAATTTTAGGGCCAACTATGGAACAAATAGTCCTACTTTGGGTAGTCCCAATTTTGTTTGTCCCAATGGTAATTTAGGATCGCCATTTGGGAGCCAATCTTTAGGCCTCAGTGGGCCAACTTTAAGCTCCAGTAGCCTCGCTACTTCGACTTTACATAGAACCAAAGGAAAAGGTAACACGCGGAGAAGAGAACATGTCTTAGCTGAAAACTTACCTGGACCCGAAAGTTGCGTCTAGAACTTTACTTATGATTAATATTCAGAAAGGCCTACTAACTTATTTAGTTATTAATGTCATCTTGGACGATGAGTTATATTTTCATAGTTATCGGATCTATTTATGTAATATGATTGTGTATTCATTGGTTGAGACATCTTGACATTTTAAAGTACCTTTCTAATATAATTTCACTTTCATTACTAAACCAAAACTATAAAAAACATAATCCTAAATTTCAAACTTATTGTTAAAATGATATTTATGAAATAGTTTCTAAAATGACAGTATTGCGTTATTGTTAAAATAGAAAACTTTTAAGTTAAAACATAATTAAGTCTCAAAGTGCGTTGACATATTTACATATTATGTACCTATTATGAATTAATATTAAATGTGTTTAAATTGACAGGGCAGTTTTTTTTAAAATCTTATATGTTGGCGTTTAGTTACAATTTTAGTTTCGCTTAGAATATATATAATATACTTGTAATACAATAATTAGTTACTATGATCATGTTCCTGTCAAATTTAAAAGTTTTTAGAATTTTTATTTTTTTTGTTATAGAGTTGCAAGTACTAAAACTACAAACTTCACTGATCCTAATAGACAGTTTACGGTTTAATCTCATGCTAATTTCCTTTGTTTTCGTTCGATAATTCAACGATGAAAACTGGCGTATTAAATGAATGTTAATATAAATGTACCGTGAAAATGTTTTTAATACATTTCCAGACTATAAAACGGAAGAAAAAGTCACGTTTTCGGTCAACATTTTTAACTTATTGTAGAGCTTAAAACATAATAGGACTTTGTTAACAATGTATACTGCTGACACCATATGATTAAAGATATAACGGAAAACCAAAAGGTATCCCATAGGTACCAACTATCGATTGGCTGTCAATATATAAAAAAATAATTAATTTTTTTAAATTCTTTTTTTAAAAGTCGGTTGTGTGAATGTAAATAATGCTAGCTGTAAATTTTAAATGTATAGAGTTTATAGTGCAAAAAAACGCTTTTATTGTTATATTTTTTATGTGATTCTAGGGAATTTGTAAATAATAAAAATTAAAATTAATCGACCGCTCTAACTTACTGTTTTAAATTGATAACGTAAAATTCAGAGAGTTATTTTGTTTAATTAAAGACTTATATAAAAATTTCATTCCAGTTTTATAGAGATATTCTTGATGTCTTGTGACTTCGATCTTACGTCTTGATGTATAGGGCGTTATTCACATTAAAATATATAATATAAATATATGTACCGGTAATACGCCAATAAATACGTTTATTAAACTAGTTTGGAGTATCTTTAAAACAGTTGTTTAAGCGGTTATGCTGCAATTAGTGCCATTCCGAGAATTATTATAAGCGTTTCGAATTGTGTTGATTTTATTGTAGAGTTTAATATCGAAGCCGTGGGATTAAGTGCAGACTTCCGATTTCAGAGTAAGTTGTTTGCATGTGCTGTATAATTTTTTTAATAAGTAGTTTTAAAGTATATTAAGGGTTCGTTTTAAAATAATTTTGAAACGGTTAAGACCTGATCTAAGTATCAAATAGAAAGGACGTTTGATGTAAATTACAACAAAAGCAATTCACTATTGTTTTCGTTTTGATCAAATATTGAACAGAACTACAAATTATACAAAAAAAGACTCAGAAAAAAGACACGGACTATCCGTAAATTACATGTCGCTTCTAGAAAAAGCTGCCATAAAATCTACGTATTGGCTCATTAACCCAATTTCTTGTCAAATTAACAAACAACCTTACTCTGATATCGATTAGAAATGTCCTATTTGATAAGTTTTGAGGATGAATGTAGACGACGAGTAAGAAACAATTCAGAGCTCCAGAAGAGATGACCGTTTTATATTTAATAAATAAATAATGGTTTATAAAATATTCGTGATTTTTATTCCTATTTTACAAATCGCTCCTACAACAGTTCGTACTTATTTATTGATGGTTTTTTTTTGGCTAAGCTGGTTCGATGAACTCACAGCCCAGTGTAAGTGGTTTCCGTTGCCCATAGACATCGACAACGTAAATACTGCCACTCGCTTTGACACATGAGTTCTAAATCTCAGTTTTACAGCTACCCCCACTCTTAAACCGAAACGGACTGCTTTACTGTAGAAATAGGAGAAATAGGCAGTGTTGTGGTACCAACCCATGCCGGCAATATTTTTTTTCCTACCTATTCGCTGGACGGGTAGGTGGGCTCACAGGTTCAAGCAGAAAGAATTTGCTAACTAGCCCTATCAAGAGCAGTGCTTCGCAGAATCTACCACCGGATCGGAAGCGCGACCCGCTGAGAAGATCCGGCGATAAACTCAGCGGACTGGCCAGCAAACAAAACGCCGTACCACCAGTAATTACGCACATAACCGTTTCTGCTTGTCTACGTTGAACGCATTAAAGCTGAAAGCTTTAAACTATTAATATTTGTCTCCACAAGGTCCGGTCGAATAATCTAATAAATACTACCTCCCTTAGCCAGCGCCTGACCCCTCCCTCACCTGACTTGCTGGGTCCGTATATCGGATTAACGCGACGACACGCAGGAATATAGCTTCTCTGTCTAGACTGGGCTTAACTAATAACAATAAGTTTTTACTAATATTAACGTTTCGAGATATTAACTAAAATATTATGGCATCATTTAAATACAGCTTTAGACCTTTAGAACCGGATAACCAAGTGACCAAAGTAAATTAGAGGTTAATTAAAAAAAAAAAACTCACTGTAGTCCACTATTGTTAGTCCCTTTGCACTCGATAGGTGAGTTTGGCTAACCAAGGTAAGTGGTAATCGTCACCTCACAAGCGCAAAACGTCAATAAGGTCGTCCATATGAAACTTCACGTCACAATTTTTTTGCTTGAGGACATTTTACCCTCTAGTTCAATATTTACTGCCTAGTCAATTTTGTCAAAAGGCCGAGACAATTTTGTTCTTGTTCTAATATCACGCCCGCAACTCTTCAAACATTGATAAAAGTGTTCGGAATCGACAGACCACTGTTACAATACAAACTACAAATATTTCGCCTATTTTCGATAGAATCTAAAATTAATAGCGCCACACCTATTGCCATTTCAGTAGAAGCAAAAATGATTTAAAACAATTCAAGACCATCAGCGTCTCGTCCAAGCAATAGTGGCCACAGGAATTCTTTTTTTTATTTATTGCTTAGAGGGGTGGACGAGCTCACAGTCCACCTGGTGTTAAGTGGTTACTGGAGGCCATAGACATCTACAACGTAAATGCGCCACCCACCTTGAGATATAAGTTCTAAGGTTTCTATATAGTTACATAGGCTGCCCCACCCTTCAAACCGAAACGCATTACTGCTTCACGGCAGAAATTGGCGAGGTGGTGGTACCTACCCGTGCGCACTCACAAAAGGTCCTACCACCAGTAATTACGCAAATTGAAATTTTGCGGGTTTCGTTTTTATTACACGATGTTATTCCTTCACCGTGGAATTCAATCGTGAACATTTGTTGAGTACGTATTTCTTTAGAAAAATTGGTACCCGCCTGCGGGATTCGAACACCAGTGCATCGCTAGATACGAATGCACCGGCCGTCTTATCCTTTGGGCCATGACGACTTCGAAAACTGTTGATAGCTTCACAACTCTCGATTTTGTACATTATTACGAGCGACTGAACTGAATTGCTTACAACATTCGCATCTTAGACTTCATGTAAATCTGTAGTAGACACGTTAAGGACTACATAAACGTTGAATTCCTGGGACACGAAGATGGTTCTTCCTTCGTTTATTTAGAGAGACATTAAAGCGATGCGAATTTGCTAAACAGACTCGAATGAAATTACACTATGAAACAGGCCTATTCCCTGAGCTTATTCCTAGTGATTACGCCTCCCGCTGCTTTTAAGGAATAGAATTAAAATGAACTGCCTGAGAACGTAATAGTGTTAACGGTTTTCGGCTTGCGGTCTGGAGTCTTGTTTAGCTACATCATAGTTATTAAAGTAGACTTCCTCCTCGGTTACGTTCGATAAATTAATAACTGCGCTTCGTATGTAATGGATGTATCTACTCACGCTGTTCCGTTTTGATTTACCATTATTAATAGAGAGAAAGAGCAAGAGAGAGAGGAGAGAGAAAGAAAGAGCGATACACTTTCTATTGGTGTATATAATTATTACATAACTAACTGACCCGGCAGGACTTCGTAGTGCCTCAATCGATAAATTGAAGACCTAAACTTTTGTATAAAATAAACTTAAAACAAACAAAAGAAATCCGCCCGACGGGGGGGACATCAAAGGAAAAACATTAAAAAGTTATTTTTATTTAATTCCGAGCATTTTTATATTTATATACCTTCTAAACCTTCTCTGGACTTCCACAAATAATTCAAAACCAAAATTAGCCAAATCAGTCGAGCCGTTCTGGAATTTTAGCGAGACTAACGAACAGCTATTCATTTTTATATGTATAGATATAGAAGATTACATAATAATAATATTAATTTAGTCCTGATCCACGGATTACCGCCATGTGGCAGGCATGTTGTGTCAGTACACGGTTTGATAGAGAAAAGTTTCGACCAACATCTTAAGAAACTTTCGTTTTTCAACTGGGTTAGGGGCAGCACGGTATAGATTGCAATTATCCTTGACACGGCGTGTATTGTGAGAAGGCCTCTCACTCTGGAGTCCCAACCACTAAGAGCTTGACACCGACATCAGCGGAAATCTAATTTTTACATCGTATTTTTAAATATTGTATGATTAATAACAATTTAAATAAATAAATTAGAATTATTATACCGGGGACAAGTCACACACGGTCACCTAACCCCAACCTAGGATTTCCTCTACTATGAGAACTAGAAACTCATATACGTACTTAAATACTAATTAATATATACACATAAATATATGTAGATATTCAAAAACCCAGACAAAGTGCAAACAAAACTTGTTCATCACACGAACGTTTGCCCGATGCGGGAATCGAACCCACGACCCTTTCACTACCCAGCAGTCGGGTGCGCAAATACTACACCACCGGGTTAGTAATAATTTATATTTAATAACATTCCAGTTGCTTAACAAATGCTTAGATTTAGGCCAGAGAATCCGTAAAGTGGCACATATATAAGGTTACTCTCAAAGATTCTGAGAAGTTCCAGGATATTAAACTTTCTTAATACGTCGAGACCTCAATAGTCAAGTATCAATGAGAGCTTATACCACGAACCACAACTACAAAGGATGAATGAACTTATTAAAAAATGTATTTTTTTTTAC